AAAACACATGGATTCTTCAACTGGCAGTGATCACACTGGGCACTGCCAGGGTCACAGGCACCAAACCAACAAAAGCCATCACTGAAGGAGAATTTTTTAATGAGCTTTTCCTCCTTTGCTTATATTAGCCATGGACAAATAAGAGAGCCAGATGTGCTGCTGATGCAGTGAATTCAGGGACAACAAACTCTGTTACTCCAAACAATTTCTGAAAACCCTGCAGGCATATATTGGCACTTTAAGGTGGCCAGAGGCCAGATTCTAGCAGTCCAGAATGAGAACAGAACTATAATCAACAAATAAAATAGCATATGGTCAAAGATTAGATAAAGTATATTTCAAATAAAAAAAAACAACAAATAAAAGTATTTTATGACATTAACAATGTAGTGCTACAAAACCAGTTGTTACTCCATTCCTCTAAAGAAATGTTTGGTCCTCTTTTAAATGGGGGAAAAGGGATCAGGAATTCTATACAGTACGATTTATAAAAACAAGCAAATGATAGGGACCCAAAGCTATGTGGCAAGAAAAGAGTGCCTTTTTCAAACACATTATCAATTAAAGTATTTGTAGTATGGGATTTTTTAGGTTCTCTTTTAAAACCTTTACTGTAAATTAGCAGGCCTGCAATTTTTTTCTATTGACAATAAACTTTTATAATTTCATTACTTCCAAAAGAAGTGTTCATATTGTGTTACCTTGTCTTCTTAAAAGAATATAAGTCTCCTTTGCCTATAAAACACCACTCAATTCCTTAGTTTCTTATTTTACACTGCCATTTTGAGTTAATGTGTAATAATCTTATTGGTTTAAGATTTAAAAAGCAAAGTGAGAAGCAACAACTTTAAAAGAAAAAAATGTAAGAGCCAAACATGACTACTTTCTACATTCTAAATTATTACTTATTATAAAGTAAAATTTCTCTCAAAATTGTACACTGAGGTTTATCTGGTTTTTTTGGGGGGTGGGCTTTGTTTAAAAATAACTCTTGATTGTTATTATTTTAGACTATTTCCATTCACCAAATAAAATCCAAAAGGAAATTTGAGGTGATCCAAAATTTTCTTTAGAGACATGAAACTGGGAGGTCGGTGGGGCATCTGAGAGAGCATAATCTCTCCAGGTGTATAGACGCAACTCTGAAAACCACAAAGCCTTAGTAAGAACTTGGCTCTTTTAAGCATATAGTTAAAAGCGGAATGCTGCATTTTAGCCTGTACATAATTAAAAAGGGTAAAAGAAATTAGAAACTGCCTACCGCTTCATTCATAACAAATTACCTGCACTGATCACATATCTGCAGATGAGCTAAGCATCAAGCAAGGAGGGGCCTGATGTGCACCCGAGCTCACACTGCTTGGGGAAGTGAAGCTTTAAGCATAGAATATAAGTTCAGGGATCTGCCCTCCCTGTACCCCAGTGCCATTTGTGCTATCTGAGGAGCATTGAAACTGGACAGTCACTTTGCCACACTGAACTTCCGTCATGCCTTCTTGTCCAAAGTAGCTGAGTTCATTGCCATCCAGTATCACACTGGCTGTGTAGAAGGTGTCCGGCTCGATCTGCACAGGATACTCAAACCACACAGGGAAGGTATTGCTGGATCCATCTGAGAAGTACTTGCTCAAGTTCTGCCCCAGGACAACATCCTGCCGCTTGAGTTCAATCTTGGCACTGTATTCTGCAGAACCACAGCTGGAGCCATACAGCCCAAAGCCTGCAATAAACACTCTTTTATCAACAGCAAACTGGATGCTGTCACAGCGACCCCGATAGCGCCACTGGTTGCTCCTATAGGCACAAGACTGGAAACGGTGACAGCGCTGGGGGACAAGGCCCTTGCGGGCTTTACTCACAAACTGCAACTCTGGCTTTTTGGCCGCAGTGTACCAGAGGAAGATGTCATTGGTCTCATTGAGAGTTAATACTCCGGACTGGGCAGCACCATTTG